TTAATTCAGACTGATGAACTGTTATCCAGACAAGTCAAGATGGTATGAGATGAAACATTTTCAGCTAGAATTGTATCTTGCTTTTATTCATATAAAGGAGATTGTTTTAATAAATCCTTAAAATAAATCCTGACTCACCTTCTGTTTCTTTCTTCTCACATTGACCCAGATGTCTTCGAGCTTGGTCCCTTACTCTCTGATTATTTTCCATGTAACCGTGTGTGCCCCAACTGCATCTCCTGCTAACATACACGGTGTTACCACAATCAGACCCTCGGTTTACAGACTTGCGTATTGATTCTGCTTTTCCTCTTCTGTTGTTGCTCTGGATTGGATGGGATGCTTGGTTTCTCTCCTGCACTCTGGTTTTCAGTCATTCTTGACTACATTGGCAAGACTCTAGGTGAGTCTTTAGAGTTTGGGCCAATGTTTCTCTAAGTAATGGCACACAAACCACTTGTATCAGAGATGCTGTTTCAGAAGGTCTGGGACTGGGCCCAGGGAATTGTATTTTTAAAATGCAACATGCCCGATTTTTATGAACATTAAAGTTTAGTTCTTCCTGGTTCTGGAGACATACACTCTGTTCTTCATGATAGAATCATCATTTAAGTACTTTAAGTCATTCTAGAGGACAAAAACATCCTTCTTTTTGATAACCTGAGAGAGTAGAGCTGGGAGATATTTTACATCAAATGTCTCTAATCCTCAAAAGCACTCCACAAGTCAGATATTCAGAGAAAATAAATTTGTTTGCTCCAGGTAACCTAGATCACAGTTAACACAGAATTTAAACCAATGTCAGCTGGACCCCAGTGCACAAGATGATTGCAACATAACAAGCTATCCCACTTCCCTGTTTCCTCTTAGCCAATGGAGACCAGATAAGGACTGAAATGTTGGAAAGGAGAAGACAAACAGTTTATACCAGGAGGAAAAAAAGAGCCGCTGGGTAGGAAAATGGGGAAAGCAGAGCAAGCCCACCCCAGCATACTCTTAGATAGAAGCGCAGATCTGAGTAGGTGCTCGAGACAGCTGCCAAAGAACCTGGGGACAGATATTAGGCTTTAGGAGGAAC